TGGGTGAGCTTTTGTCCGGTGAGCTCCTGTCCGTTGAGCTTTTGTCCAGTGAGCTTTTGTCCAGTGAGCTTTTGTCTGGGATTCGTAAACAAGCGACCACGCTTCGTGCGACAGATGCAATGCCAACGATTGGTGTGTTCAGCTGTGGATGCAGCAAGAAACCTTTGATTCTTGCGTGAGGTGAATGCAAATGTAAACAGGGTTCACCTTTTTTTCCTTTTTTTTTGTTACTTGAGACGAAGCTTTGACAAAAACAATGGTGACAACGCGAAGAAACATGCGGATGTTATCGCGCGGCGTGAAGCCATTTAAAACTATTGAGCTGGGCCCTGATATTTTCACGAAGTTGTACCAAATTTGTTTATGACCTTTTTTTCCTTTATGTGCGTTGTAGCGTTGGCCTGCCTTTTTCTTGGTGTGCAAGCAGCTCAATGCATGCGGACGAGACCAAGGCAGTTAAAGACTATGTACTCTCGCTTTTTGGCCATACCTCTGCTACGCCTACATTGGACATTTGGGATATATGACTGTCATGTTCTGTGCTTCAGTGTGTTTCTTTTTTTTTCATCATGTTATGTTTGCTTGTTTGTTTTTTCAGGAAGGAGAAAAATAGTTGTGAAACAATGTCAAAGTTCCTTTTATTTCATTAGTAATGATGAAGGTGTTGGAAGTATAAAAACAAGTTCTTGAGACTTTTTTGTAGCAACAGCTGACAGCGGTTCGAATGATTGTTTTTTTTGGTGTCGCGTTCTTCCAGCACCGTCAGCTTAGTCTTTCAAGGAAGGGAGAATCTTGTATAGTGATTGTACCAAAATGAGTTGCTGGCCGAGTTGGATAGACATCTTGACCTAAACAGCGCAAATAAGTTACGTAAGGAAGAGACAACAGGAAGGAAAGAGCGCTGACTCACAACTGAGGTTTTAATAATGATGTAGTGAAAGAGAAAGACGGTGTCAAGTGCTGTGACATCCAAAGCGCCTCATGAAGCAACCTCACAGATCATCAACGAAGGTCTCGAGTGCCTGGCAGGCTTACAAAGCTCGGGCACTCCAAAGATGAGCTTTGCCTTAACCTTCTTTAATTCATTAATATTACAGCACTTGGCACCTTCCTTCTCTTTCACTACATCATTATTAAAACCTCAGTTGTGAGCCAGCGCTCTTTCCTTCCTGTTGTCTCTTCCTTACGTAACTTATTTGCGCTGTTTAAGTCAAGATGTCTATCCAACTCGCCCAGCAACTCATTTTGGTACAATACCTTTCTTCTACAATGGGCTCTGTACCGTGTTTCTCTCCTCTAGACCCTGTTTCTTCATATATTCATCTAATCGCTATCTGTGTGTGCAAGGCAAGAATCTGTTCTTTCGCCATCAAGCATCGTGTGGTACCTTACGACATCCGAGGGCTGTTCGGCTACGCTCAACCATCAACGGGCCACTCCAGGAGAATCTGCAGGATTATACGCTCTGAGATGTGGAGACAGGTCCGGTATTTTTGAACCTGCCTTAAGATACTTGCCCAGGGTGGACAATCCCACAGCGGCAGCGGGTCACAATATCGAGACTACCTCCTCAGAGCAAGTAGGATGACAGAGTTCTTCTGGTGGACATACATTCCTCATCTCAAGAGTCTCCGAAATGAAAGTAGATGTACGAGGGGTGAGCCTGTTACCATTCTAGGCAATACAAATCTACCTGTAGAAATAACAAAGGTCTTGGAGAAAGGCCCCAAATTTTGCACGAATCCAAAAATGCAAGATGTACAGATAGTGTCCATCATTCATGATATAGCGGCAAAAACTCAAGAGCCGTACCGACCACGGTGTATCGATGAATGCATGGATGTGGTGATGAGAGTGGGAACGGCACCCGCAACATGCAGTAAAACCAAGTTAGACAGCATTGTAGGGTATTTCCAGCAGAACAATTTAAACTTAATTGTTTCAGATAAAGAAGGAGGATTTATTGTAGCTCCCCATGATATTTACACGAACAAGGCAAGAATGGCCATCGGGAAAAATTTTAAGAAACTAGAAGGTTACAAGTCCAAGTCAGTGAAGGCCAGAGCTCTACAACTGTGCCACAAGTTTGAGTTAGAGCAATTACGAAAACAGATAACATCAGCCGATAAAGACCAACTTATTCTTCACCGGGAAAACACACAAAGAAGCGTGTCCTTTCCGTGTGGTCATTACAGAAAAAGGATCGTGGCAAGGAGCCATGTCAAGGTTCCTCCAACGGCAATTGGCAACCCTACGACTGAATGACCCTTTTCTGGTCTCCAATTCTGAGAAGGTGATTGACTATCTGGGAAACAACATCTTATCTGTTCGGTATGGCCTATCCCTCGATGTAGAAGACTTATTTTACTCCATACCTCACGAGGGGATGTTTACTGCTTTGAGAGAACACATTGAAGCCAATGGAGAAGTAGCCTTTCAGAACAACTGTGGAATGGCAGTGGATTCCTTCCTTGAGCTTCTACGGTTTTACTTGAACTCAACTGTGGTAACGTTCAATGGAGAACACTACATACAGAAGAGAGGAATCTGTATAGGATCCTATGTAGCTCCTGCTTTGACAGATGTTTATCTCTCGAAATGTAATAGAGCCATTGATGACAGCCTTGACATTCCCCAGGTTAGTCGTATATTCAGATACGTAGACGACTATCTTATCCTCCTCAATGCCCGACCCAAATGTGAGACACAGTTCATGGATTCCGTTCAAACGACATTCGAAGAACACGCCGGGGGACTAAAGTTCACGCATTGAATGGCCGGAAAACCAGTCCCTACAATTCTTAGATCTCAAAATAACATTCCACGAAGACAGTGTATGCTGGATGTACGCCCCACGAACAAAGAAAAGTCTTCTGCAATTCGACTCCGCACACACGAAGCTCGTCAAGAGAGGAATTGTTGCAAGTACGTTGGGGGCGGCTCTGAGGAAGTCTTGCGACCACACAGCAGGAGAGAGCTTCAACAACCAGCTGCGGAGACTTCGCGCTTCAGGGTACCCGACTTCAGTTATTTCCACCATCGTGGAGAGCATGTTAAAACAACGTCAAAGAGGAAGTCCAAACCGAACAAGGATCCGACCTGTGGTAATGCCCTACATTCACCGTCTCTCCCATAACCTAAAAAGAGTAGCCGCAAAGTTTGAGGTTCCTATCCTCCTCACAGCGCCCGACAAACTTAAAAGATTATGTCCAAAAATCAACGAGCAGCGGGATACACACGACCTATGTAAAATCAACCATGAGAGAAAGTTCGTGGAATGTCAGAGCGGCATCATATATGAAATACCGTTGTCATGTGGGAAGGTGTATCTGGGACAATCTGGAAGGTGCATCAATGTGAGACTTAGGGAACACGCACTTTCTCTAAACTCAACGCCAGCGGGCCATCTTGCCGTGCATGTGAGAGATTGCGGGTGCACACCAAGGTTTCCTGAGACTAAGGTGCTTAAACATTTTAAGGATCAAAAGACTAGAGAGGTGTACGAGGCGTGCAAGATCGCGAATAAGGGCCTAGCCTGCATAAGTACGCCTTCGATTGCTCTGACGGCGAAAGAGCTCCAATTTATGAATTTTAGTCCCTAAATTATTTTTCTTCCTGTTTTCTTCTTCTTTTCCTTCTTCTCAATTTTCATTTCTGTGAAAGCCAACGCCCTTGGGATCACCGTCGACATCGTGATTCTTCTTCTTTTTCTGGCTGTGACAACCAGTAACCGTTGGGTCACCGACAACTTTGTAGATCACATCTGAATATTTGTACGTAGATATATTCACTTGGGTTACTTAGAAATGCAAATTGTCATTCCGTTAATATGGCCCTTAGAAAGAGGTTAATAATTGTAACCTTCTTAAATTTAATAATATCACAGCACTTGACACCGTCTTTCTCTTTCACTACATCATTATTAAAACCTCAGTTGTGAGTCAGCGCTCTTTCCTTCCTGTTGTCTCTTCCTTACGTAACTTATTTGCGCTGTTTAAGTCAAGTTGTATAGTGATGTTTATGATGAATTAAAAGAAGTGACGATTAAAGATAGAAGAAGAGCGGCATCAACTCGCCCGCGATGGAGCGAGTTGATGTCATAACCTCAACGAAGTATGACGTGTCCTGCCTCGGCTTTACCAACCTCTCTCGGGGTAGCTGCGGCGGCCCGGCGCGTAACTGGGCGACGCATCCCAAGACGAATCTCAACGACCGAGATGGTTCAGTAAGCCTCCGCAACATCGAAACAAATGGGGCGCCTCGGCCCCCCCTCTACATCGTCGCATTGGTCGTGCGGCCGGAGCTTTCGAGCCAGGACTGACCCCACAGAGAATACAGTAGTGCTACATTGGGAAAACTGGGCGGTGTGTGAACGATCGAGCTAGGGAGCACGCGGCTTTTGTTAACAGGACATCTCTCTGCACACTGGTAGTCCTGTAACTGCACTCCTAATATTAACATTACCAGTGGATGGCGACGCACGAACGCATATGCACACAAAGTAATTGATGCCCTGACCATTGGAAAAAGTGGTCAAATGTGCGTAAGCACCCCATTGATCACGATCCACGCGAAAGAGAGACAATACTAGGGGCGTGGCACACGGCGTCAAATATTAACTTCCTAGTCGGTGCGGCGCACGGATATGGGGGATGGTTTTTGTCACTAGCTGTAATAAAAAAAAAAAGGAAAAGAGTCTACGTAAAAGCAAGATGAAGTGTTAAAGTCAGCAAGTTGATAGTCAGTGGTGTGTATATATTTTCCTCTCTCGGTTTTTTCCGTGTTTTAACTGTTCAGCTGACCCTATCCAACGTGCACCAACTAGCTCAAGTCAGACCTGTAGAATTAGGTGGCTTATAGATACATTAAAAGCGGAGCAGGACAACCGAAATCTTGAAATTTGTTTGAATTAACCAGAAGTACGAAATATCCAAGTTGGCTTCACTGGCTTCGAGGCCATAAGCAGGAGGGTCGGTCGATTGACTCGGTCTTGAGCTCACCGGAGAGGTTCTGGCGCAGCCGCCCTCCACTGCTCTGGAAGAGAGCCAGTTCTGCGGGGAGCAGGGGGTCCGCCGCTGCGCCGGGGGCGTCGGGGAGCCTGAAGAGGAGGACGTTGACCCCGTGGTTGGCCAGCTGGCGTCCGCAGCACACCACCTGGGTGCCCTGCCGGTGGGAGCCGCACACCACCGCCACCGTCGGCCGCTGGTGGCTGTTGCGGGGGTTCAGCCTGGGAAGGGTGCCGGTCGGGGCGACCAAGAGTCAGGCGGTTTGAAACGGGGCGATCAACGGTCAGGCAAAGGAGACGATGGGGTAATAAAGGCAGTTTGAAACGGAGGTGACGAATACGGTTCGGAAAGGAAATGACAAAGTGATAAAAAAAAAGAAGGTGATGAAGCGGTAAAAAGTTGTTTGAAAAGGAAGCGAAAAAAAGATGAAGTAACAAGAAAATAGTTTGAAGAGAGAGAGGGACAAAAAGGAACATGACAGAGCAACAAAATAAGTTTTTAAAAAAGTGACAAGACGATAAAGTAACAAAAAGTTGTTTTAAAAAGAGGTGACAGAGTGACAAAAAGGAGATGGCAAAGTAACAAACACAGTTTGATAAGAGGGTGACAAAGTGACAAGGATGGAGATGACAAAGTAAAAAAAAATAGTTTTGAAAAGGTGACAAAGTGACCAAAAAGAAGAGACGATAGTGTAACATAAAGATGATAGTAACAAAATGTTGAAATTAAATAAAAAAGAAAAGCTGAGACAATGTAACAAGAAGGAGGTGAAAAAGTAAGAGAAATGGTTCAAGAAAAAAAACTCCCAAAGTCATAAATAAAAGAGGTGACAAAACAACAAAAAGAACTCCAAAAAATAACTATGACGAAGTAGCAAATATTTCAAGTCAAAGTAAAAAGAGCTAGATGTACCACAAAGTAATGAGAATTGCTTGAAAAGAAGGTGACGAAGTAAAAGAAAGATGACAAAGTAACAAACAAGGAGACGATGAAGTAATAAAAAAAATGACAAGGTAACAAAAATTGATAAAGTAAGAAAAAAAGTGACAAAGTACTATAAAGCCCTTGTGCCCCAATTCCGACTGCACCCTGTGCCAAGCACACGACGGTCACTCTGGACCCCTTCCAAAGCTTTCTGCATACTAGAATGTCTCTGCATTATAAACCGCGTGGTTCATGCGAGGAGCACAGTTTAGTGGTAGCGTCAAGTACCGCATTTTTTGTTTCGTACGCCCAACCACACAAGGGTTCTTCCACGTGTCTCATTCGCGTCGGCATCTCCCCGTATCGATCCCGTCATCCAATAATAACTTATTCATCTATCAGCCGATGTGCTGGCGTAAGCGAGCTTTCACAGGGCTAGCTTTAGGGGAAGCGACGGAAAGACGACTTCTTCGGCGCTGATGAACGTTGGTGAACGCACAATGTCTGGTTTACATGGTTGCATAGGTTGCTGCGGGAGTGAACTAGGCGACGTGCTAACATGACAGTAACGACAGGGTCGCCGGGGCAACCGTTCTCCCTACACAACGTGGAAAGCAATGCAAGGCACAACTACTTCCTTAGGCCATCGTAAGTCACGGTTTTCCCTGCGGCCCCATCATTGCTGCTGTTATCGTTGCTTTGAATGCAACCGACGCAAACTCTCTCACTTTACTTCGGCGGCCGTTGCGCCAACTGCCGACAACAAGCAATCGCAGAAGCCGCAAGAGATGAGCAGAAATTGTGAACGGACCCGTTCCGGCCAGTTCGGCGCTTTCTCACTAGATGCCGTCCCTATTGCTGGAGTCGCGAACGAGGAAATACAAACTGACCGGCGACAGCCTCCCAGGAGTTGTAGCACCATCTCGGAAGCCGCCCTGCCCAGCATCTCCAGCTGCCGCTCAGGGCCGTAGCCACAACGGGACGCTCCTTCCAGGATCCTGGCCCTGAGCTCCAAGCTGATGCTTGGAACCAGAAGACCGGTATCTGCATGGAGGGGCCAAGATGCCTCGGACGTCAACACTGGGGCGACGGATCTGTGCCCCACTGCACGTATTTCCGCGAAGTGTAAAAAGAGGGGACTGCAGAACCTATAGGCCCATGATGTGACGGTGGTATGATAGCAACGCAATGGTGAGTGAGAACACTCCCTGCTGATGCTGATGTGATGGTGATGTAATGTGCTGGCGATGTGATGCGATGGTGAGCGATGTCATTCACCAGTGCAAGTGATGTAATTGTGATGCAATGGTGTGTGTGGTGGCCCTCACCGGTCATGGTGATGTGCTGGTAATGTGATGGGGATGTGCAATTCAATGCTGAGCGATGGCACTCTCTGATGACAGTGATGTGATGGTGATGTAATGTGCTGCTGATGTGATGCAATGTAATGGTGATGCGATGGTGAGTGATGGCATTCTCCAGTGGGGGTGATGTAATGGGGATGCGATGGTGTGTGTGGTGGCACTCACTGGTGATGGTGATGTGCTGGTAATGTGATGGGGATGTACGATTCAATGCTGAGCGATGGCACTCTCTGATGATGGTGATGTGATGGTCATGTGATGTGATGATGTTATGTGATTGTCACGTGATGGCTGTGTGATGGCGAGCAAGTGACGGCACTCACCGGTGACGTAGTCAATCTCCTGCGGGCAGGGGACCCTGATGTGCTGTACTGACTCCAAGCCTCCTCCACCGAGGACGTTCTCGTCACACTTGAAACGGGCGGGAGCGGCCCGCATCACCGCCGCCAGGGGGGGCGCGGGCACCGGGGCCAGCCGCTCCGCCGCGCAGGGTGTGTGGCGCGACGACATGGCCGCATCAATCTCGTTGAACACGGCCCGCTTGTCAAAGAGTGCCAGGTTCTTCTCGAAGTCAAAGTCGTGCTCCAGGAGAGACATGTCGACTGGCGCGTTGAAGCATGCCTCATCACGACCCCGCATGGCGGCTACCCGACGTGCCCCGTCCGCCTTCTTGGGGGTCAACGACCCTTTCTTTTTGGTGTCTGTAACGGAAGGATGCTTATGCCATACCACACAAACACCGACCGAGCACCAACCCAAAATTTTGAGATTATCTATAAATACTGCAAAATAAGCGCTTGTCACTGTCAAAAAAAAAAAAATGCGGAAGGAGTACAAGATAGGGGGGGCTACACCGCTTTGCATTGGTGCACGTACGTCAAGCTACACTGCTACGCAGTGGCGCATGCGAGGCAAGTTGCACCACTTTGCACTGGTGGGCTCAGAGAAGTGGCTGATGGAGAGGAGTATCTCAGCCAGGTCAGCTTTCCCATCTGGGGTTGGCGCTTGATATGTCCTTTGCTTATTGAATTTAAAGAGCAGAGGATGAGTGCTTACTGTGACATGGGCGCATGCTCGGTACTTTATTGTACATAACACATCCTACAGGTGTATTGTGTAAAGCGAGTGCAATATATCTGGTTTATGTGCTACTGTGAATGTTGGTAGGATATGGTGCTTCCTACAGATGTTTGTGAGAATAAACTTGAACTTGAGCTTAGTCAAAACTACTTCTACAAGCAAGCCTATCATACAACATGTTTTGTTCCAATCGGTCTTATCACAAGCTGAAAGATCATCACCTTAACTGTAGCGCCATAGGCCTTTTACTTTAACAATTAGCCCTTTCCCTGCCATGGACGACCTGGGTTCGTCCACACTGTTTGTACCGCTCCTCCCGAAGACGAACTGGACTCGTCCACATTGATTTGGGCTCCAGTACGCTACCATGGACGAACTGGGCTAGTCCACGTGTTTCTAGTGATCTTTGCCGTGGATAGACGGCGTTTCACAGAAAATAAAAACCTGGTAAATTTTTGAATTCAGCATAAAACTGTTCCAACGCAGACAACAGGGGATTTAAAAATGGCGGCGTCAATTTCTGCTCGCTGCGTTCGTAGTGACGATCTTGCCTCAAAATTGGGGCGAAAACAAAGATATTGTGACATCTCTTCAGATTCAGAAGACGAGGAGATGAATCGTTCATCCAACAGCGAGAGTGATGCAACTGAGTTATTGGATCAGACGACTCCGATTTCGATGAGGACATTGTGTCGGCGTGTCTGCATTGGACTAGAATCAATGTAGAAAATCCCCCTCCAGCCCCTCCACGTTTTGCGTTCACTTTGTGTGCAAGGTGATGTGAACTGCCTGCAGTAGTGCTACGCCAGGCCCGAAAGTCCATCTGCAAGGTGACGTGAACTATCTGCAGTAATGCAGTGAAGCGGAACTTTAGTCCCTTTTTCTTTTGTAGTCTGTTCAGATTACTTATATAACAAATATTTGGGCATTTGTTTTTGGCCTTTGTATTGCATATTAAATTTATAGGGCACATAAAAAAATTTGATATTTTCAAATAGTTTTTTTTCAAACTTTTTTGCAGTAGGCAAAGGGTTAAGGAGATTTGCACTGACAGCTTCATGTGACACTTCCTATGAACTAAGGATAGAGTCAGTATGAAAGCCACACACCAAAGTTTTTTTTGTGTATTTTCGTGCTAAAAATTAATTTTAAAGGACAAGTGTTCAAGGATAACAAAGTAAGGCATTGAAACTTGGAAACCACACTTCGCAGAGAATCCTGCGGAAATATTGTGCAATGCCTTTAAAAGCCAGCACAAAATCTGACTGATTACCTTTTCTTGAACCGTTGACGTCATGAAAATTGACCGGAGACGCACTCTGCTCCTCAGTAGGACCACCATCACACGCCTTGATGATGTTGAGATCGACAATGTCCTGAGCACTAAAGAAAACACCAAATCATAATTAAATTTATAGCACTAATACAAGACCATGAGAAGAGAGTAACAGAATGCTCTTTCAATTGGCAAAAGTTGCGATTAGAAAGCAACCACCCACACTTTACTATTTAGTAGTAATCAGCGTTTCCATGATGCTATTCAGAGCACCACAGTATTTACTTGATTTAAACTTTGCTTTCAGTTAACATTCACTTGACTAATTTTTATTGTTGTTTGAACAGTTTCTATGCTCATATTTGTTCGGCCCATTTCAACACCGATACCAATTTAAACCGTTGACCTGAATTATGCCCATAGGACAATTATAATTATGTTCTGACAGTGATTTAAGTTATGTTGCGATACTGCAATACAAAAATGTGCTGGAATTCCTTTTAACAAAAAATGTAGCAATATAGGTAGATATTTTTTCTAACAAGAATAATTTATACTAAGCTTCGAAGTTAATAGCTAGTGTCCATATATCAGTTTTAACAGGAGTAATTTAAACTAAGCTCCAGAGCTGACACCAGGTTGAGAAGACCAACAGTTAGTTCTCATATGCATTATGTAGCTTTAGCCATCTTACCAAAATTGTGGCACTCACATGCATTTCAGTTATATAATAATGCTGATAGTCCAGCAAAGCCCTACAATTGATGTTTAATCAAAAAGTTTCAACAATAGTATCAATCTGAGTGTATCCCCAACATTTTTTTATGGTAATATAAACAAAACTCCAACATTTATTTTTAATTATGGGAAGTGGCAATGCTGATAATCAACTGAACAAAATCATCTTGTGATATAAAGTATTTGAGAATGTTTGAAAATAGAAAACTATAGATTATAGCTTCTTCATCATGCACCACTCCCATTAAAGATGGGACGTCAATTATTGAAACTATGGAAATCTCAGATCGAGGAACCAAAAGGGGAAATTCCTTGGTCTTGAAATTCTGCTACGTTGAAAGTTCATCAGCTAGCCTCTTCCTTTTCAGTTATTTCCTTCATTCACCAATTGATCCATTTTTGTTCTACATGCAATCTTGACCTCTTCCTTTTCAGTTATTTCTTTCATTCACCAATTTATCTTGTTTTGTTCTACATGCAATATTGACCTCTTACTTCTGCTCTTATTTTTACCTACAACCTTTATCTTTGTTTTTAGATTACTGCAAAACTTATCATCGCTTGAAGGGTGAATGCCTGGTTGTGTTATCACGATTTATTTCTTTGAGAAGAATGTTGTGAAAGTAAACCTTTTCCTTTATATGCCTTGTTAAATTTATCGCTACTGTTAAGAAAAGGGGTAGAGGGGATGGTGCATGAAAGCACCCTATTTAGAAAGACCCGTGTCATATGTTCCGCGGCTAACGCCCCGGCATTTTTGACCTGCTCTCAAAAGTCTGTTTTAGAAGACCATGACGCGAATCCCCTGTGTCAGGTAGCCGGGTCCTTAGTGCGAGGGTGGAGTATTCTGCTTTTAACTAAGGAACAGTAAGCGTGCACGCGAGCTTGTGTAACAATTATGCCGTCCCTGGGACCCAAGTAAGGAATCAAAGGATAAAGCATCCCGTTCTTCAGGCGTACACTATACACATTCACGTCTTCTGACGTTACAATTGAGAACAAAGAGAACATATCCGTCACTGGAAAAACATTTAAAGTTACCCTCAATGGATTAGGGTAAGACATAAAACAATGCTGGTTGAAGCGCGAAGAGGGTGGAATGGGGGCAGCGAGGACGGGGCTTTTGGCACTTGGGGAATATGGGACGGGGTAATTTAACGCTGGGTTTTCGAAACGTAGGGCTAATGACAGGCAGGGCTTTTGCGATGGGGATTCTTCATGCGGGGCAAGCGTGCTATACCTGGGTGGAGGGCACCCTCGAGTTTTTGTTTTAAACATCTTCCCTGTTGTTTTACCATTTATTTTGAACCAGAAAGAAGCTTGTGAACATTATTACAATCAAGTAAAAACATTGTTAATCATTTTAACTCGGTCGCACCACTGATAGACATCTAAAAAAATATAAACTTTGGTATAACTCTTCCCTAGCTCATGTAATCATAGCTCACAGACCTTAACAAAGCTCAAAAAGTGACGTTAATTTGCGGTAAGTCAAAGCATTATTGCCCATCTGGATTAATTTAGGCACCTAAGAATAATCTATCAGAACTTTAACATTAAAGTTGTTTTAAACCACAATGTGTGTGTCTCTCAGAGATGGTAGTTTGAGGAATCCTGGCAGCGACATGCCCGAAAGATTCCACGACATACACGAGTTTCGCCTCGAAGGGGCCTGCGACTCTGCTGCGTCGACAAGGCACTCACAATAAAAACATAAAAAAAAAATGGATGCCAACCAGATGGTGACTTGAGGAACATGACACTTAACGCCGTTTCTGGTGGCTTGTGAGAGCACGATTTGTTGTCGCTCAGAGTCCACGCTGACGATTTTTCCTCGGTAAGTTCCCAGGATGTCACCGCATTCGACCACCACGACACAGCCAACCCACTGGTCGCTCATGACTTGGCCAAATGTTTCATGGATATTTCAAGAAACGTCTATCAAATACGTATCAGGATGTCATCGAAGTCTGGCTCTTGTCCCGTCCAAGAGGTGTCAAACGTGAGCGACGGCTTCGATGTCACGAATCATCGGTGGGAAGGATGTAGTTTTTTGTTTTGTTTTTGTTTTAGAGAAACTACTCAGTGCCAACGGACTGGCCGCTCGGTTTACTTTGCAAACAGCTAAACAAGTAGAAGGCACCAAGGAAACGTATTTTGACAACTACCAACGCAGAAAGTCGATCCGCCGCGTAGCAGAAAACACAAAAAGCTGGGAGGCCACACGAAATGGATGGACGGGTGGATTCTGTTGGCTATTCTCTTTGACTCTTGGCTTTTATTGTACAGAAGCACCTACAAAAGCTACAAAACGTGAAACATTTTCTGTTATTCCCATTAAGGAAAACAGTTTTAAAGGCGTAAAAATATATAAGCAAAGCACAAAAACAAACCTAATATTGTTTTTGTTTTTTTTACGTGACGTCACGTTGAGTCACGAGGCCGAGGCACACGAGGCGTTAGCCAATCGGAGCCGTTTGTGCGATATTCAAAAGGGTTCATCCGCGTGAGCAGTGTTCGGGAAACCAGGGAAACCGTGCAGTTTATCAATCAGAACAGCCTCGAATTTTCTCCGCGGAGAAATCTGACCCAAAGTCAGAATGGCCCAGAAGAATATCTATTACTCCGACAAGTACTACGACGACAAATACGAATACAGGTAAGCTTTCCCAAAAGTTTTTTTTTAGCCACGTCGGTGGAACTGTTCGGCGGGAACAATCATGGCGCTGGTAGCGATCCTTGCCACCTGCCCATTAATCAAATCGTATGACAGTGCTTTTCGAGCTAACAAATAAATTTACCTTGCGTTTTTTTTTTAATCAATTACACAGCATCAATTCAAGCAATGATGTTAGGCCATACTTCGTTGGTTACTTGGTTTTGTTTTTTTCACTGCCTTGTATCAATGGGACGGACTTGCCACTGGTACCAGTACGATTCCTAGGACCTGCTTTTGCTGATGAGTAATCATCGAAAATCGTGTTATGTGTATGTTTAGACAGCGGGAAATCGGGCAGTCCCAAATGGGCGTTTGTTGTCTTCGCCGTAGTTAAGCTATTTAGCCACTGCGGTAAGCACCTCTAGACTGGGGTCTTGTGTGATACACGACCGCACGCCGGTACCGATGCTCATCCAGATCGAAACAAGCAAGGGTGGGGTTGAACCTATGATCCCTGGGTTCGACACAGGGGCGGATCCAGAACTCCTTTTTCGGGGGAGGGGGGGGGGGGTGGAAAAATTTGTAAGGATGCTATTCTCCCATTCTTTTTTGTGCACCGGGGGGTCCACCGATGTCAAATTGCCTTCCGAGAAGGGAAGTGGGGTAAACTTTGGGGAGGGCGACCGCCCCCCCCCCCCCTCCCCCCCTCCTTGGATCCGCCCCTGGTTCGGCAGCGCGAGGTTTAAGCTTTTCATGTTCTGTGTGTAAACGATTCCGAACATGATGTGGCCATTTGTTCCAGGCACGTCGTCTTGCCTAAAGAAATCGCCAAACTCGTCCCAAAATCCCGACTCATGAGCGAGACCGAATGGAGGGGCATCGGCGTGCAGCAAAGCCACGGCTGGGTGCATTACATGATTCACGAGCCCGGTGAGTAACCTCACTTTCTTCCCATTTCTTCGACGTGAGTGTACTGCTTTCAAAGGCTGTGTATGGGCACTTGGCTGTACGGACATGTTGGTGGATCTACATATACATCTGGTACCTTTCATGCATCAAAATATTAAAGTTAACAATGATCTGCAGTCTCGTGGTTCACCTATTCCAAACACTTATTGTATTTACACCGAAACGTTTGTGCACCGAAAAGTCCTACACCGGCATGTCAGGATCTCTCTTTTAAGCCTTGCTGAATAAGAAGTTTGTTTTTGTTCTCGCTGAACTTGTTCTCTGTTCAAATGTAGTGCTAGCAGTCTGAACCCAAATGCCAAGGTTTGAGAACTAACCGCTGCCTCGTTCAAAAGTTATAAGTGATTTTCCGAAGATTCTCATGGAAAAAGTGCGACCCGTTTTCGGTAACTGGTGCTGTTCGGCTTCGTTTGTTCAAGAGCTCCGTTAACCACCATTTTCCCATTGAAAGTTCCAGAAAATCTATTTGATGTGTCGGCGCTGCTGGACTATCATCATCATCGCCACCGACCATGGGTGTGGCACTATCATCATTGCGACGACTTCGGGTGTGGCTCTGATCCGGAGCGCATACCAGGATGCGCGCTCGCACATGTGCTTGTTTTAACTGCGTACCGAACTGATCGTTTAGCTTTTATGGGTTCTTGCTTTCATTAAAACTCCGGCAGCCAGCGACGGCTGCTCGGACATAACAGTTGGCGACAAGAATCAGCACCCATCGACCTAGACCGGTGCTTCAACAGCGAGCGACGACCAGTGCTACGCCATGGCCACGCCTGAGTTCGGTCGCATACGGGAGTTCAACGGCAGTTCCAGCTCCTGGAGATCATGGTACGGGCGGCTGCAGCTCTTCTTCGAGGCTAACGATATAAGGGCGCTTCGAAAAAGAAAGCTCACTTGCTCACGCTGTGCGGAGAAGAGACCTACGACGTGGTCTGCGCTCTTGTGCAGCCGAAGCAGCCCAGTCAGGTGACCTTCAATGAGATCATTCAAGCTCTAAAAGCTCATTTTGACCCACAACCTTCGGAACTCTTCTGTAGAGCACGCTTCCAGCGCCGCAACCAAGAGGACGGCGAAACAGTCAGTGCCTACGTGACAGCACTGAAAAAGCTCGCAGCAGACTGCAATTTCGGGACCACCACTGAACAAGCGTCAAACCCGACGCTGCTACCCTTGGAAATTATGCTGCGCGACCGTTTTGTTTGCGGCCTACGGAGTGAACAGGTCCAACAGCGTCTCTTCGCGGAAAAGGACTTAACATTTTAACGAGCCTACGACTTCGCCTTGCGAGCAGAAAACGCGGTCGAAGACCAGCGGAAAGTGAAGTCAGAATTCAAAGAAGTGCACAAGGCAAGTGCGAGCGGCGGCCCAGCGCGACATCCAGATCGGTCTGTCAAGCAACCGAAAGAGCAGAACGTTCAACGTTGCTGGAGGTGCGACGCACAACACAGTCCGGAGACTTGCAAATTCCAAACAACATCTTGCAGGTATTGCAAGAAACGCGGACACATAGAAAAGGCGTGCATCAAGAAGCGGAAGGACGTGAATTACTCGCACCGGAATCACAGCATGGAAGTACCTGAGCACCAGCTGCTGACAGCTCTACCAACACCACCTGTCGGGCTCCAACACGCAGCAGCAACGTCGACACTGTATGAGCTCAACTCTGTGTCACAAACTACCAATGTGCCAAAGTTCACAATGAAGGTATTAGTTGACAACAGGCGCTTGAACTTTGAAGTGGACTCTGGAGCTGCCGGCATGCTCATCAGTGAGGCGATATTCAACGCCACGTGGAAGAACAAATCACCTCGGCTGGAGACTAACAACGTCTTGCTCTGCACGTGGTCAGGTCAGTCGCTTGGAGTTCTAGGCACTGCAACAGTGTTAGTCACACACAAAGACAAAACCTACTGTTGGAGCGTTTAAGTGTTTCTTAATAAGCCATATCACTGGCACGAGGACATCGAAGACGAGAAGAAAATCGGCCAGAGACGTCTTAAAAGGGAGCGCGTGGCAGGGAGCTGGCGGCCGGGGGAGCGCGTGGCCTGGGCGCGAGACGAGGCTCGTGTTTGGAACGGTTGGGAACGACACGTCAGATCGCATCGCTTGCAGCTTGTAGATGTATGTAAATAAAAGTTTGCTTGAAAGTAACCATCGACAACTACCAGAGGTTCCTACATTGGTGCCGAAACCCGAGAGGAACGACTGAACGAAGGGAACCTGGTGGTTTACAGCAACTTTTCATCAAGCCAAGCCAGAACGATCGGCGATCATGGACGTCCTCAAGAAAAAACGGAAGACGCATCGGATGCAAGTGACACGACTGACTGGTGAGGCCGACGCGTTACTACTCTTAGCTACACCAAGCGTCAACGACCTCGAGGTTCTAATCGAGCGTATTCATCTGGCCCGCGACCAACTGAACGACGTGGACGCGGCGATCGAACCTCTGATCACGGGACAAGATGCAGAAGCAGAGTTCAGTCATGCGATCGAGTATTCGGACAAGGTCGTCACGTACCTCACCAAACTTAAACAAAAGATGAAGAGCGTGGAGGGCAGCCACCCAGCAAGGGGACCATCGAGCGGAGATCGGAACGGAGGATCCTCGATGACATCAAAAATCAAACTCCCAAAATTGAAACTAATCCAATTCAACGGGCACCTAAAGGACTGGCAGCAATTCGATACCGCCATTCATCAAAATCCGGAACTCACGCCGTCAGAAAAGTTCAACTATCTGCGATCAGCGCTGACCGGCGATGGAGCAGCAGCCATCGGTGGATTGCAGCCGACCGCTGAGTGTTACGCAGACCCATCGAGCTCCTGCAGCAGCGGTTCGGGAAGCAAGAGACGCTTATCCAGGACCACATGGAAGGTCTCATGGACATACAGCCAGTGCCACCACAACGGAACACCCGAGCCTTACGGCGTTTATACGACACTCTACAGGCGCACATCAGAGGCCTTAGAGCGTTAGGGGTGGGCGAAGAGGCGTATGGAGCTATGCTCTACACAGTTCTTTTGCGAGTGCTACCGAGAGATATCACTCTCGATTTCAACCGGAAGATGTCGGCGGAGGAGACCGGGAATGCCAACGCCGCAAGGGCATCAATGACAGACGCCAGTTTGGAATCCGCCCCACAGCAAGTACACTTGAGGGCTCTGCGGTTTCTCCTCGACTTTCTACGCATCGAGGTGGAGAGCCGCGAAAGGACATCAAAACACCAGCTGGAAGACGCCGTCGGTAAGCCCAGACCTCCTTCTCTGACGCATGGCTTTGTGAAGAGGTCAACGATCAACACTCAGACTCGCAGTTCCACCGCGGCGGCATTGCACGGCAGTGTGGACGTCTTAGAGTGCTTCCTTTGCAAGTCAAAAGCGCACGGAACACCGGAATGTAACGCAAGAATCGGGCTAGCGGAGAAGAAGCGTAGGTTGCAAGCAGACCGGAGGTGCTTCCGCTGCACGAAGGCCAATCACATGGCAAGATTATGTCGAGGAGCACCCAGCTGTGGCAAATGTCAAGGCAGGCACGCGTCCACCATGTGCGACCCGAATTACGCGCCGGGAAAAACGTCCACCAGATCGAATGAGACAGAACCGAAGGAACCGGCACCGG